TTTGACTGGCTTTGGGTTCGGGTTTGGGTTTTCCTCGATTTTTAAATATGGGGACGGGGCGGGTAATGGGGACTGTAGTACCCACCCCGAACTCGTCCCCGAACCCACCCCGTTTATTATTATTATTATTTTAAAAAAATCATAATATTTTTTATAAAATCATACATTATATTTTTAACTCTTTCACTTCTCGTTGATTAGTTGTTGATTATCAATTAGACATATACAATGGTTAATTTAAAAATTGAAGTTGAACCATTGCAGAACATACATTTACGATTGGCTATATTAATTAAAATTAATAGACTTTTATAAAAAAAAGTTAATAGACTTTTAACATTCCAGATTGAAATTCTTCAAAATATATGTTTGAAATTCTTCGAGATTGTATTTTATTTTTGTAATACAAGTTAATATTTCTTAAGATTGGGACAGGTTTTGGGTTTGGGGCGAAATTTGGGTTCGGGGCAAAATTTGGGTTTGAGGCAGGAATTGGGTTTAGGGGCGTGGCGGGAATCCCCGAACCCATTTGGGACGGGGTTGGGGCTCAATTATTCATCCCCGCTGGGGTTCGGGGCGGGGAACGGGGATTTATTTAGGATTTGGGTTTGGGTTTGGATTTGGGGAATACAAAAACCGTCCCCGCCCCGCCCCGTTGCCATCCCTAGATGAGAGGGGGTGCTAATACCTTCCCCTTGCATAACCGGATTCCGAACCCATTTCTTGGTTGCGAGACCATCTTATCCTTTCCTCCTTGAGGTTTTCCCTTCCCCTTTCGAGATAAATAAACTTCGATGACGACTTTCCTGTTTTCCTTTTTGCCTCGTCGTCGTTGCATTTTTCGAGTAGCGAAAGCTTGGCAACTCTGCTGAGGACTGGTTCACCCTAGTAAGCCAAACCTAGTTTTGTTTGTCGCATGTGTGGATTGTTTACTTTTATTATTTCTTTATTTCTTTATTGCTTTTATTGTGTTCCTCTTATCTGTTGGGTTTATTTGGGATGGTTTGTGAGGAGAAAGGCTTTCTACCCAAGCTTTTCCAATATACACTAAGCTAAAAGGTAGTTTCTTTCTGATTTGCAAGACTTAGGACTCGCTGATTTGGTTTAACTTCCACCGCTCAGATGAGGTCCCTTTGGAAATGATTATGTCTTACAAGCAGTCATATCGATGTTTTTGTTTCTGACCTGGGAGTCTGTGATTCTGAGGACCTTTGTAGAATCATATTCCAAAGGTTACTAAGACATAACTCTGTGCTCATCCTTTGAAGGGATTACCGTATTACGAATTATCGTTATGATGGATAACTTTTCAGGGCTTAGTGCATGGGACCTTGTTTGAAAACCCTTGGAATGCCTTGTTATAAACCAATAGATTGCCTACCCAAGGTTAGAGATATCTTGTTGTATGACCTTAAGAATTTGTAACCTTGATCCTTGTGTTGTGAGCTTGTTCCGAAATATGCATTCATAACATTTCATTTTCATAAGAGTCTAAGCATTATGTTGCATATCATTCTCCAACCAAAATACAAGAGAACTCATACATACTCTGTCCATAACCCATGGTTGATTTCCCGACACTCATATTGAACCTGTGGTAGCTGCAAAGTATTTGAGGCAAGAGGAACATAGACGACTTGAAAAGGCCAGTTAGACAAATCAAGGTGGAAGCCGTGTTAGCTATGTCAAGAAACAACCTTCAGCATGTTGTAAGGGAGAATGTTGAGCTTTCACCAGGATTTACTGTGACAACCAACCCATTGTATGTTCTTCTGCCTGATGATGATCCTCCACAAGTAAATTTTCCTACTCAATCCCAGAGATGCCATTGAATGACTCCATAAAGGAAAGGATTTGTGCCATTAAGAGAAACTCCAAGCTATGAAAGTGCATGATATGCTTGGACTTAATGCTGCTGATATGTGCCTAGTGTCAGGCTTGACAATTCCTCTGAAATTCAGAGTACCCAACTTCGAGAAGTACATAAGCCTTAGTTTCCCGAAGCGCCATTTGGTGATGTTCTGTCGAAAAATAACCTCCTACACCCATGACAATAAGCTGATGATTCACTGTTTTCAAGATAGTTTGAGTGGAGCTTTTTTACGTTGGTACATGGATTTAGAAAGAAGACATATCCAATCATGGAGGGACTTAGCCAGTGCTTTTCTAAAGTATTACCAGTACAATTTGGACATGGCTCCCAGTCACATGCAGTTGCAAGGCCTATCTCAGAAAGGTGGTGACTCCTTCAAGGAGTATGTGCAGCGTTGGAGAGAGCTGGCAGCCAGAGTGCAACCACCACTCTTTGATAGAGAATTGATCGACATGTTCATAAATAATCTACATGGATCTTATCTTGAAAGAATGGCTGGCAATGCATTTTAAAGCTTCTATGACCTTGTGATAGTAGGAGAACGCGTCGAGATCTACCTTAAGAATGGACAAATCCAAGATGTCTCGAGCAGCCAAGCCGGTGAGACTGAATCCCTCAAAAATTCCCAAGAGGAAGAGGAGGATGAAACCAATACAGTTATGGCAGATGTTAAGTATTCTCAAGATGCACCAACAAGATCTTATGGTCCCTCATCTTCTTAGCAGTCATCATTTCCTGTGCCAAGCTATCCTTATGGGCAACCAACAATTCCTAGAGCTCCATACCAGAAACCTTGGATTGCTCCTCATGCAAATCAATGAGCCCATGATCGAGGATTTCAGAATCAGCATCAGAGTCAGCATAGGCCTCGAAATAACTTGGAAAGAAGGAATGCTCCTCTTCATCCAGTCCTTATGTCATATAGTTAACTCTTGCCACATCTGATTCAAATCTCATTGGTGGTTCCCAAGCCTCTCAAGACATTTCCAGAACCATACCCTCCCGGGTACATGATAAATGGGACACTCAACTGAAGATTGCAAATCCTTCCAAGCCAAAGTGCAACAATTGATTAACAAAGGGTACATATCCTTTTTAGAATAAAGCTTGGTTGTGCATGTCAACCCCTCGTCTGTTTGAGTTCAAAGACTTCAAAGAGAATCTTCTAAAGCTAGTGGTTCAGACAAGATGACATCCTGAAAATTGGCGGTCATTAGATCCATTCTTATCTATGCATTTGCAGTTTCCTTTTTGGCAAGTGCTACTTATTTTTAGACATTGTTGCTTACTAATGGTATTGTTAATGTGATGAACATGCATTTTTTGAACAAGTCCATTCGTATCCATTCATCTTTTATCATATATTGCAAAAAAAATCACAAAAAATTTCCTCCACATTTCACTCCCTTTATCAACGGTTGTTTTAGCAAAGATTGGAGAGAGGATGATGAAAACTGAATACCCATAACTGCTAATAGTATGCTTTTGGATAAAGTTCTACTGATGATGTACATGCACTGTTTCAAATCTTTTAAACACTAGAGAGATAAGGATTTAGTCCCTAGTCAACCACTTTGAGCCTAGAAGTAGGAGTTTCCTTCAGATTTCTAAACCCTTACACTTAACCTGGGGCATGGGTTGTGTTCAATTATCCTGATTACACACATTTTCAAGATGAAACCTCATGTTATGGCGATTGTTCTTCAATGACCAAAGACTTGGTAGTCATAACCCTTCAAAAAAATAGGAAAGCTCGCTAAGTTGAACACATAAATAGGCGACTTAGGCAAAACACTACAAGAAAAACGATGGATTGCGACAATTATTTTGGTAGGTTACGACGGTTAAAACCACCATCAATTACATTCTACGAAGATCGTAGTACCGTCGCAAAAACATGTGTCCCCAAACTGTTTAGCGACGGTTGCCAAAACCGCCACACCAATCGTCGTTATATTTCACGACGGGCTGGAGCTAACCTAAAATGGAGATAGCGACGATTAAAGACCATCTTACTAGCCTTTTGATTTTTGTTTTCATTGTTGATTGTGACAGTTTAAAACTGTCGTGAATTCTATTTCACGACTGGTTGGAACTGACATAAATTGGAAATGACAACAGTTAAATACTGTCTGTCGTGAATATCCTTCTGATTTTTGTTACCATTGTTGATTGTTACAGTTTAAAACTGTCGTGAATATGATATCTTGACGGTTCAAATCATCGTAATTTGATTTATAAAATTTTAAATATAACTTATTTAGTAACGGCTTAAAGCGCAACTAATTATTTAAGTTTTACATTTAGCAACAGTTTAAATCATTATTAATTTTTATGTATTGTATTATATTGTTTTATAATAAATTCTTTTATTTAAATTATTATCTACTAAAATAGTTATATTATTTTTTCTTTAAATTATTTATATAATAATTTTTTTATTTATAGTATTATTTTTTAATTTTATTTTCTATGCTTTTTAACGTAGTAAAATTAATTCCAAAATTTAATATCAAATAAGCATTATAATATCAAAAAAATGTGAGTTTCATAATCATGTAAAATGAAAGTTCTATAATCATGTCATGTAATACAAAAAACTGAAAACATGTCAAATCATAATCTTATAACAATAAGTATCATTATGCCAAAAATAAATAATAAGATTCATAATCTAGAAAGTATGTCATTATGGAATTCGGTAGCTAGACTCATATGAATGTCTACCATCAGCTAGTGATTTCAATCCCTGGAAAAAAATTGTATTAAAATAATACTCCTAAACTTTAACTTTAAATTCATCAAAATAATATACATGTCTTCCACTAGAATTTTGCATTTGCATTAAGAGTTCAATTTTCTCTTTCATAACATTGTCTCTTTGCTTTAAGAATGTGATTGCCTCATCAATTCATCAATTTTTGAATTTTTTTTCTTTAAGTGCAATAATTTCTTGTTATATTTCCTTTATTTTTTCATTTTCTGCAAAAGAAGATGTCGATCTTGTAGATCTATTAATATGAGATGGCGTAACTCCAAGTCTCATACTACGAACATATCCATGTTGTTCTTTTCCAAATACTTTCTGAAATGCCTCATTTTCAGACACAGAATCGTTAATTGTAGCTTATAACTTTTCCTGCACATGAAAAAGAGTAAATTGAGCAAGCAAACTTAATTTAACTTTTCAATCTAGCTAATAAACAAATTTCTACATTTTAAGGGGAAACAAACAATGATTATAAGCAAAAACTGATAAATTTGTATTGATGAAAAAGATGTTTAGTAATTTAAAACTTGGTTTAGCTAGTTAATCTATTTGTGATGGTAAATTTCAATTCCAGTAAGTTTTATTGGCTGCTCGAATTATTTAAAATTTCAATTCCAGTATGCATTTTGTGATGGTAAATTTCAATTCCAATAACGTATTTGATTATGTAAAATTTGTATACATGTTAAACTTTCTTCTTACTACTTGTTTTTACTACTTGTATTTAGTTAAACTTTTATATTTTAGTTCTATTTGTTTGAATAATTAGTTGACTTTATAAAGAGCACAATCTATTGTTACAAGACTAATTAATTAACTCAAATAATCACAATTCTCAATCTAATTTAACTAGTTTTCAGACAGGTTCTCCCCACCTTTAAGAGATGCCAAAAAGTTTGATTTTTTCTCATACCTTAAGGAGATTAACAAATATTTAAAAATAATTAACTTGTAATTACATTATTATTATATGCATCTTCACTGACAAAAGACTCGTCAGACTTTTTATGAGAAATTGCATACATTTCTCTTCTACTGCATGTTCGTCCATCTCTCGATTCCTACAAATAAGAATAAATATTAATTATTTTTACCATCAGTAATACATTCAACTCTATATAGATTTAGACATACCAACTCATGTTTCTTCCTTGCAATCGACTTAAATCCGAGTGTATGTGGAGTCTTCAATTTTGCTCTATTTTGGGCATTTTTTGGGGCTATTTTCTACTTACTTAACAATTAAAAACACGTGTTATAGATAGGGATAACATACAAACTAGATAAAACTAACAAATAAAAGCACTAATATTACCTGTGTTTTTTCTTTCCGCCTATATTGAACAAAAACAGCCCAATCATTTTCCAGAATGCCTATGCATTTTGGATAATTTTGAAGATTTTCCTCCAAAGTGAGATCCCATCTATAAAATTGGCGAAACAATTGATGTCGGTCATCCTTCCATTTCTTTGTAGCATAAGCAAGTATGAATTCTTTGTCACGCCCATCATCAACAAGAAAGTGGAGCTAACCATAAAAATAAAAATTAGTTAACAAAACAAATAATAATCACCTTGAAATTAATTTTAAAAATATGTAATTGTTTATTAATGATACCTTTATCTTTGAATCATAAAACTTTATTTTTGTATCCGTTGCAATATCCTTCCAACTCTCGAACATTTTAGGAAAGTCTTTAAACATTCTAATAATTATACCCAAATACCCTGCTAACAAACCAGAAGCTGGTCCTATTACACAATGATCCTTATCAAATTCAAGTATTATCCATGTTCCATCAGACTTTGATTTTGTAACCAAGTCTTTCACACATAAACGTGTGTTTGAAACATAACCCTCCTCACCTATCACATAAACAAGTAAACAAATTAATGTCATAACTCAACTATGTAAAAAAAAACTAAATTATTTACAAATACTTTAACCTTAAATTACTTACTAATGACATTTACATCCCAATAAACAAATTTAGCCACTTTTGCAACATCATCAGTCACATCTTCTACCACAACATCTTCAGCCTCGTCTCCTACCACAACATCTTCAGCCTCATCTCCTACCACATCATCTTCAGTCTCATCTCCTACCATAATATCTTCATCCTCATCTGCTACCACAATATCTTTTGCAGTTTGGATTGGCAATGGGGTTATTGTAGTTTCAATTGGCAGAGGGGTAATTTTAGTTTGGATTGGCAGAAGAGTTATTGTAGTTTTGATTGGCGGAGGGATTATTAATGATTTACGTGTTGTAGTTGAACGTAGGCGCTTTTTGTTTACTTCAAGCTCTCCAGGTTGTACAAACCTCGGACGACCCTTCACAGACTAAATAAAATACATAAGTGAATATCAATAAACAATTAATACAATTAATTTTTATAGACTAGTATTGAGAATTTATTACTAACTGGTGATGGTTTGGAAGAAGACGAAGATGTTTTAGGAAGGGATTGAGAGAGCTTTGGAAGATTGAGAGCCTCTAGCTTTTTCTTATTCTCTGCATCTCTTTTGAGGCGAATTTCCTCATATAATGAAATCATTGTCTCACAAAAGGCTTCAATTGCAAGTATATGTATTAAAAAGACGGTACACTAATAGTAGTAAACATCAAAATATATTAGTGACTATAAATTTAATAAACATAGCACAAACACAATAAATTAAAAGGATAATTTATGCAATAAAATATAGATTAGTAGTGTCATCTCATGCATTAATTAGGGGTAAGCAACAAAAAACATAGAGTAACAATGTCATCTCATACATTAATTAGGGATAAAAAACAAAATACATAAGTCTCACACAATAATGTTAATTATACAAACAAATTAGATTTCTTATCATTTGTTGATGAAGTTCCAATAAAAACTATATGTTAATTATTGTTATCATTTGCTGATGAAGTTCCAATATCATCATTCAAAAAAATTTGTTCCAAATTTTATGATGGATATGGCTCAATGGGTGACATAATTTCATCATTTCCACCCATGTCATACAAGTCTCTTGGATTCAAATGAACATGTATGATCCATCCTTGTTCATTCTCATCATCAACATAAAAAAACCATTTGAGCTTCTGACGCTTGAATGTACGGCTCATTATCTTCATGTTCCCCAGAATGTAGTAGTTTTGTAAAGTTTATAGAGGTAAAACCCAACTTATCTATCTTAATGCCTCTTGGGTTTGTGGTATTAGCCCATTCACATTTAAACATGGGCACTGTGAAGCCATCATAGGAAAGCACAATAATTTTTTATCAATCTTCCATAGTAAGGGACCCCTCCAAATCTCATTTGGGTATCACTATTGCTTGAATAACTTCGCGTCCCAAACAAGCCAAAAATGCCACTGTTTTGAGTTTTTAAAAGATTTTCTCGTTCCAATGTTCAAAATTTGAATCCATTGACATTGAACACAGTAAATCTTTTAACTTTATCAAAAGGTCCATAAGCAAGACTGATGAGAACATCTTTATCTGGTCCATGAATGTTATCAAGATTGTTGCAAATTTGTACACGATACAACATCCAATTAGTCTTGTTATTATTAAAATCCAATTCAATAAAACATCTATTTTTGTACAAAAACTCACACGATTGTGGAACCAATGATAAAACTCTCTATGAACCTTCTTATCTATCTCAGCAGCACTTCTTTGACTGCGTTTCATTTGATTCTGAGTAATACTTCGGAACTGCCTATTTGGTTATTTGATATTAGATGTAAAAAAAATCTTAATAGTGCAAATGAAACTACTTAAATGGCATAAAACTACTTACTTTAGATAGTCGTCAACTATTGGACAATTCGTTAAAATGTGTCTATGAGCCTGCAACTTTTCAATTGGTGTTAGGGTGTAATAAGAAGATCCACCCACTGGTTTTCCAAATATAGGAAATAATTCGGCTACACGGGATCCTGTTTAGATATCACCAATAGGTTCATCATCTACATGTCCAGGTTGATTCCATCTAGTTTCAATATTTTCTAGATATCTTGAACAAAATGTAAGAATCTCTTCAAAATGGTATCCTTCTGCAATAGACCCTTCTGGTTTTGCCTTATTATGTAGATGCGATTTAAGTTTTCCCAAGTACCTATTATTGAACCACAATAATATCGGTTAAAAAAAATCTTTCTACTTTATAAGTTAGTAACAATAAAATAAAATCAGATTGTTTACCTTTCAACGGGATACATCCATCGATAATGAACAAGACCTCCAAGTTTAACTTCTTCAACAAGGTGAACAACCAAGTGAACCATAACCGTGAAGAACGAGGGAGGAAATAACATTTCCATGTGGCATAAAGTGAGGAAAATTTAGTTTTGCAATTTTTCCAATTCTTCAATTTTCAATACCTTGGCACATAATTGTCTAAAGAATGAGCACAACTCAATCAAAGCTGCTGAAATCTCATGAGGTAATATATTGTGAATGGCTAATGGTAGAAGGTTTTCCATTAATATATGTCTTACAGTGAGAATCATGATGTCAAGCTATTGATTAACTTGAACCTTAATTCATTAAATTCACAACCGGACTTTGATTTATCCAAAGGAAAGGTTAAAGAAGGAAAGACCTTTTGCATGATGTAACAACAATGCTAAGAGATCGGGGATCGGGTGTTGGTTATGCCTAGGATAGGTATTTCACATCCTAAACATCTGTAGTACTCTACAAGAACCTTTTGTATGTTTGTATGCTAAGTTTCTAAATGTTTTCTATGGCTTAGGATTAGGGTATAAGGTTGAGGGAGATAGGTGAAGACCTAAGGATAGTTTCTAAATTTGCTCGCAAAGACATCACATCCTCTGCCTACGTATCCTAACTAGGATAGAATAAGATCAGCCGTAGTTCACCTTACCGAGGATTAAATGAACACTTGATTATGATCAAGGTTCAAAGGGGAAAAAACATAATAATGCTTGTATAGAGTTTAACAAAACTCTCTATTCTACGTTGTACACTCAAAGGAATTGACTTTTACAAAAGTCAAGAGGGAAGGTAAGCAATCATGACAATGATCCTTACATAGAGTTAACAAACTCTATCTTAAAGTTCTAATTAAAGGATACTCCTAACAAGGGGTAGGTCTTTAGACTTAAAGCAAATTCTAATGGATATAGGTTCTAACTTAACTAAGTTAGGGTTCAAGAAGACTTAACAAAGTCAGAGGGAGGGTAATGAGATATCTATGAACAAAGGGTAAATAGAGAGACTTCCCTTTGGAATGGGAAAAGGATGAGGCAACTGGATGAGAACTAACAAGTTCCATTACTTGGGTTATAACTTAACAAAGCTAAAAACATACATATAAGTATTCATTCAAACATGATGAACATATACAAAAGAGCATGGTAACAACCAAAGAAGAGATGCAAGTATGTGACAACATCAAGCAAATATTACAATCGAGTCAAATGGTTACAACCATATACACAAAGATATTACAATATTTAGAAGAGGAACATGGTATAGGTTCTTACAAGACCAACCATATTAGGTAAAATTGATTTGAAACATCTTAACAAAGATGAAGGGAAATGAGGTAACAACCATCAAGACAAACAACAACATGTAATTCAAACAAGTTTAATGCAAGCAAGTAAAAAATTGAGGCAAGCATGTATGAGGATCAAGGGATGTCAAATGTAACAAAATGAGACCAACAATCATGCATTGATGACAATCAAGTACAAGTAAGCATACAAGAAGTGTTACAACAGTTCAAGTAAGAAGTTCATGGTTTTCAAGGGGAAAGCATACAAGTTCATGTAACAACCAAAACAAAGAAAGTCCTAACATATTAGAGTTCTAACAAGGTCTCTAAACAAGTAGGGAAGACATAAGGATGCACTCAAAAAGTTACAACATCAAGAGACATAGCATGGTTCACAAACATAATTCACAATATCATTCAAATAGATGTACTTGCAAAAGCATAGATTAAACATGATGAGACCTTGATTCAAGTAAAACTTAAACACTCAAACAAGTTAACAAACATGTGGGGATCAAGCACACTCAAACTCATAAGATAGCTCAAGAAATAGTTGAGAAAAGTTTCAAAAAGAAACAAGGGAAAAACCCTAAAAGGCAACATGACTTTCAATTGGGTTAAAGTATTTATATGATGGGCATCGTTGAATTATTTTCTCACTATGTGAAAGTATACATAATATAGAACATTTTGTAAAAAGAATGGATCAAAAATGTTAAAAAAATGAAAAAGTTATGAGGTTTTTAAGTTTGTGAATAAAACATAAAAATCCAAGTGATAAAAAGAATAGAATTGCACATTCCATGGGTTGAACCCACAACCTTTGGTTAACTAGTCTAAAACTTCACCAATTCAACTAGAACGCGCGTGTGAATACTCAATGGAGAAAAAAGATCAAATATTAAAACATGAAATAAAAAGTAAAAAGCCAAAAGAGTTGATCTCCACACGGGTCGAACTCATGACACTTAGGCAAGGAAATACATGAGCGCATATGCCATGACCACTGGGGTGGTGATACATCCAATGTATCAAACCACCCTAGTGAAATATATACCTCAAAGTGGGAAATCTGGGCAAAATCAAAAGAGCAAGCCCAAGCAAGTGCAAAATGCCAAAAAACGTGAACACTCAAACTTTGTCAAAACAACATCAACTTTAACAAACTTAAAGTCTAACTCATGTGAAACTTAACAAGGAGAATGATGGTGCTTTTGGTTTTCTCAAATTATGTACACAACTCAAAACCCGATGGTAACTGCATAATGAGAGTTTGGAATGCAACTTCAAAGTTTGAGTTCAAATCTAACATGCTTGTACAAATTTGAAAGCTTGTACACATCCTACATGTGCTAATTGAAAAGTTCATACACCAGGATTCTTCAAAATAGCATTATAACATAATATGGCATATGAGTTCGAAAAAAATGCACATGAGTTGAAAATGGCCAAAACAGATGGTAGCAGAACCAAGACCAATATAGCTTCAATCAAGACAAATTCAAACACATCATGAGTTAAACATATAGGGACCTTTAATTCAAACTGATAGCAACAAAAATTATGATTCATGAGGCTGCAAAGATGTTCCTCCAAGCTGCTTGCAATAGAACCAGAACAAAATGATCTTTGTCAACATAGATAGCAAATACAATGCCTTTGAATCTAGAGACCAAGGCATGAGTCTTGTGATATCAATTCAATAAAATTTTCAAGACAGAGATCCACTCATCATACACATCAAATTATAACAGAACATAGACATATTCATATAATTTCAAATCAATACAAGTGTTGGTCTGAATAGAAACTGAGCAAACTACTCCTATAGAAAAGACACACAATCAGTGTCAAGTACATTCAACAATGGAAGAACCAAAATACAAACTCAACATCACTCTACATGGCAGTTGTAGGCACTCCTTCTTAGATTCATACATGACATAAGGTAATATTTAAGAGAGTCTCAAAGAATAAACACATAGCAGCACAACATTGTATGATGACTAAAAGGGTGTTTAACATATTGATG